ACTGAACCACCCAGGCGCCCCATTTGTAATTTTTTGAGGAACCTCCATACTGTTTTCAATAACGGCTGCACCAATTTACATTTCCAACAAGAGTGCACAAGGCTTCCCTTTTCTCCACATCCTCACCAACATTTGTTATTTCTTATCTTTTTGATAATAGCCATTCTAACAGCCACCATCTTTTTATTATGTTATGTTAGTCACCATACAGTCACCATTTACTGTGGTTTTGATTTGCATGGTTTCTTCTTTGACCCATTTTTTAAAATCTAAAAGCATTTAATTTCTTCATATTTGTGAATTCCCCAAATTTCTATTATTGATTTCTAATGTCATTCCACTGTGTCTGGATAATATATTTTGTATGATTTCTATCCTTTTAAATGTATAAAGGCTTGTTTTATGGCCTATCATATGGTCTATCCTGAAAAAAGTTCCATGTGCATTTGAGAGGAATATATATTCTGCTCTTGCTTTTGTCTTTTGACAGTTTGATCAAGCTATGTCTGGTTCTGGATCTGTTTGAGTTTATTCTATTTAGAGGATCAATGAGCTCTTTAATATGTAATGTTTTTCATCAAATTTGTGAAGTTTACAGTCATTATTTCTTCAAATATTTTCTTCTACCCCTTTCTCTCCTCTTCTCCTTCTAAGACTCAAACTGCATGCATGTTGGTATACTTGTTGGTGTCCTACATTTCTCTGAGGATCTGCTCATTTTTATTCATTCTTTTTTTGTTCCTACCCCTTAGACTGGACACTCTCAATCAACATATGTTCAAATTCATAGAATTTTTCTTCTGCAAGCTCAAATCTGCTATGGAGACCCTTTAGTGAATTTTTCATTTAAAATATTGTGCTTTTCAACTCCAAAATTTCTATTTAGTTTCTGTTTATAATTTCTGTATCTTTATTGATATGGTCTATTTTGTGAGACGGCATTCTTAATATTTTCCTGTAGTTCCTTTGACATTTAGTTCTTTGAACATACTTACAATAGCTATAAATTTACACAAGAAAATTGTTTAGGAAGTCTAACATCTGGCTTCCTCAGGAACAGTTCCTATTAAAACTTTTGTCCTGTTTGGGACATACTTTCTTATTTCTTTGCATGCCTTGTCATTTTAAGTAATATGTGGCAAGTCTAGATGTTAGATTCCCCCCACATCCAGGGTTTTTGTTTGTTTGTTTTTGTTGTTGTTGTTTGTTTAGTGATTTTCCTGAACTAAGCCTGTAAAGTCTGTATTCTTTGTTGTATGTGGCTATTGGAATCTCAGCTTGGTTAGTTTAGTTGTCAGCTAAGAACTGGATAGAGTTTCTTTAAATTTAATTTTCTTAAATAAGTTTCCCAGACTTTGCCAAGAAACTCTCTGTGAATGGTGGAGCATGACTTCGACTCTCAGGCAGATAGTTTACAACTCTGTCTTAGCCTTTACTTTTTTTCTCACAGAGAGCCTCAAATTCAGCCAGAGGTGAAAGCTTCATTCTCAGGTATTTCCTGGGCATGTGCATAGCACTATGCATGCATTTGTCCTTCTGGATTCCCAGGAATAAGTAGGGAGCTTCTACCCCTTATGGACATCTCATTTCCCAGGTATTCTTAAGTTTTTTGGTTAGTTTGTTGTTTATACCCAACAGTTATCACTATGTCAGATAGCTGTGATGTTAAAGTTGTTGGGGTGCCTGGGTAGCTCAGTTGGTTAATCGGCTGCCTTCGGCCCAGGTCATGATCCCAGGGTCCTGGGATAGAGCCCTGCATTGGGCTCCTTGCTTAGCAGGAACCTGCTTCTCCCTCTCTCTCTGCTTGCCACTTCCCCTGCTTGTTCTCTCTCTCTCTGTCAAATAAATAAATAAAATCTTAAAAAAAAAAATTGCTACTGATCGTTTTAACAAACATACCCAGTAAGCTCTGAGTCAGGTCAAATAAAATCAAGCCCTGTGAGTGGGATTTTCCAGGGGAACTGTGAGACAGGTCAAATAACAGTTATCTAAAAAAAGGCGGGGAGGCTTTGGGGAGGATCCAATCCTGTTCTGCCCCCTCCACAGGTTACTAAGCCACTGGATTTCACTGTGGTTGCAGTGGTTTTCTAGACTTCCATGGGGCTAGGAGAAAAGTATGGGATTAGAGCAAGTTAAAATGCCAAAAAACTTATTGTTGTTACCAAGATTCAGCTATTTTTCCTGATAAACACTCCTGGTTGTTGCAAGCCTTTGGTTAACTTCCTGAGTTCTCAAAAAAAAGTTGGTTCTGACAATTTTTTTGTCAGTGTTCTTTTTGATTTATTAGAGAGGAGGACTTTTGGAGATTCTTATCCCACCTTTCTGGCTGATGTCACCCCACTAAATCTTTAGATAGTTGTTTTACAGATAGTGGTCTACCTATCTGAACCCCTCTCCTACTTCACCCTCTTCTAAATGGAGATAACTTATTTTTTTATTTTTTTTTAAAGATTTTATTTATTTATTTGACAGAGAGAGACACAGTGAGAGAGGGAACACAAGCAGAGGGGAGTGGGAGAGGGAGAAGAAGGCTTCCCACGGAGCAGGGAGCCTGATGTGGGACTCGATCCCAGGACCCTGGGACCATGACCTGAGCCGAAGGCAGTTGCTTAATGACTGAGCCACCCAGGCACCCTGGAGATAATAATTTAGCAGTGAGGCTCAGATGGTAACTTTTTTTTAAGTTTATTTATTTGTAATCTCCACACCCAATATGCGGCTCACACTCACGACCTGGAGATCAAGAGTCACATGCTCTACCGACTGAGCCAGTCAGATACCCCTCAGATGGTAACTTTTGGACCGAATGACACAAAACATTATTTAACATCTATCAGATAAGTCAAAGTCTTTTACTGTAGTACTGTGTATATAAGACAATGAGTATGTGAGAGTAATTGTGTTTTTTCAATACATGTCACATAGGTACTGTCTCTCTCCAACCAGTCAGGACCTTCTGCTGCTACTTATGGCCCTTCACTGCAGAAATACCCAGTAGTGTCCACTGGTGAGACAATGGCTGGCCCTCACTCTGCATTTGGCATAAAGAGGCTCTACTGCTACAGAAATTCAGGCAATGACATGAAGAAAGTCCAAAGTCCCAAGGTTCAAGTGGTCACCCTGACAACATTAATTGGGAATTTACAGACTTAAGAAAATAAAATCATTGGAATTGCTAAAGAGTTCTTTAGATGTCCCCCTAGGCTACTTCTATTCAGAAATCAGATTTTTATAACAGGTCATCTAGATTACAATACCTAAGTAGCATTATTTTTTACACTCCTTCACTCTAGAGATGAAGAAATTGAGACATTTCCATTAGAGACTTTCCTAAGAGCACTCAGTAGGTTCACAGCACAGCCAAGACTGTAATGAGGTCATTGATATTTCCAAGAGATATACCAATTCACTCAATGAATAACAAAAGCTTAAGGGAATTCAGCAAACACCAGACTCTTGGAGCTGCAACTGCACAGCTTGAGGATCAGACCAACTGGTCAACTGGGAGTCTCTGACTTACCTTTTCTCCGCTCCTATATGTGTAAACTTTTCCCCACCTACCCATTTACCTGAAGGCAAACTGTCCATTTACACAGAGCCCAACAATGCCCATGGGGCTGCTTTCGAGTTGGTGGAGCCCTTTTCAAAAAGTAACCAAAACTCTCATTTGCCACCCTTGCCTCTCACCCTATGCCTGGAGGCCAGAAACAATCCCTGTGCCTAGATAGGCCAGTTTAGCTCACCTGTGCCTTCCTTCGCCCGTCCACAGCGCCTACCAAACCGCACCAGCATCTCTGACGGGGTGCCCTCTGTGACTTGGAAAGGCGACTCCGACGCTGGGCGAGTAGGACTCCAGCCGGCCGAATGTTTGCCAAACGGCTCAGTTGCTTAGCAACGCCGCGGGAAGTGACGGCCGCCGCCGCCAAGGAACGTTGGACGCGCTGCAATGGGCCGTAGGGCTGGGAAACCGGGACTGCGCCTGCGCGGGAAGTCGTGGCCCAGCGTGCATGTTGGGTTACCCTCACTGACAGGCAGAGGAACGAGGTCGGAGTGCAGAGTACGCGGGAGCCGCACGGAGGCCAGGACAACTGCTGACGCCTGGTCTGGGTCAGTGAGGAGCCCTGGGGACCCGGCCCGGCCCGGCCGGGTGCTCCCGTCCTCATCCAACGCGCTCCTCACAGGGGATGACCCCCAGCGAGGTGCCTGCGCCTCCGTTCAGGGCGGACCCTGCAGGTGTGTGGGAGAGCGAGGCCTGGGCTTGCTGTGTGCGGCCCACAGACCTCCTCGCGGGTGGAAGGTGGAGAGCGGAGGCCTCCCTTCCATTGAAACCCAGAGATTAATGGACAGAAAATCTGTTTTTAAATACTTTCGTTTCTAAGCCATGATCCAGGCTAGATGAACCTTATTATTATTATTTTTTAAAGATTTTATTTATTTATTTGACAGAGAGAGACACAGCAAGAGAGGGAACTTGGGTATTGTCCCAGAACATTCATGTTAGGACCTTTAAGACATTTTAAATTGCTTGGTAAATACAGTATAGTAAAATTGAATGTATCTGTGGGACCAGTCAGACCACGAAGGACACAAAAATCTGTTAAGAGTGGATGCAGGCTTGGTTTCAGAAGATCCTTTTCTGACACATCGGGGTACAGATGATTTCATTATAAGCTAGTTGGCTAGGACACCTACACATTAGGCACCAAACTAGAGTCGCTCAAATGAAAGGAGGTAAGATTTTTAATCACTAAAGTTCTAACACATAGTTGTACTGTTTTTCTTCAGGTTTTCTATCAGATGTTCCACCGTAATAATGCTGGTAAGTATGAAGGGATTAATAAAATATTTGTTGACAGAAATTAGCTTTTGCACATGTAGCATTGGTGGGTTTTTTTTGAAAGCACAGTTTTAAAAAATGTCAAGAGCTGGGAAGGGTCAGAGATTTTTATCCCACTTGCACGCTAACAGCAGTCTGCCAGAGTTTTGTAGAAGACACAGACCCCTAGGCAGAGATGAATTACGTACAGCAGTAACCGTAGCCTGAATATCAGCAGTTTTGCCCCACTTCCCACAGGGTGATGCAAAGAGGACCAGAAGTCACCTGCAGGTGGAGTGTGTTGCATTACAGGACAGGAACGCTGAGCTTAGGGAACCATAATATTTATTATACTTAACAATAAACATGCCTTTCAAGGCTTTTCACTATACATACATTTTTGAGACAATAGCCCAGAGCATAGCGCAGTGAGTGTCTTGCTTAAAAGGCATGTAGAACCAATAGAGACCCATGGAGAATTACCTCCCAACAAAAATTCTCTGGAATTTTAACTAAATAGGTTATAGAAAGTATTGAATCATTAAAATTCGATGTCAATAACTTGCCAATTTGACATGGTAGCCCAATATCAGTCAACTTCCAATACCTGGTTCACCTAACCCATGGACGTTTACAACTAAGTCTATCTAGAGTTAGTTATTTATTTCTCTGACTCCACTCCTGTGTTTTATTTTGTTGTGAAATTAAGGTAGCATTTGCATTTTGATCTGGAGCAGAGTTTAAATTATTCTGGGGAAAAATTATTATAAAATCAGTGTAGAAAAAGAACTCATTGCAATTGAAGCACCCATGATCCTACCACTGTACACATAGATTTTTTTTTTTTAAACAAAAATGAGATTATACGGTACACACTGTTTAGTGACTTATTTAATTTGTACTAAACATCTTAGCTTTTACTGGCTAAATAAATATTCCATTATCCGGCTATCACATATATATCTTATTTAATCAGTCCCCAATCCTTGGATGTCTATGTAGTTTCCAATTTTCATTATTGTAAAAAACACATAGGCTATTGTTAATACTGGAAACATTGCAGAGATACCAAATATATACTGCTCATGCTTTTGAAGAGAATAGTTAATAACTGCTTTTGGAATTTTAACAAATTGGATACAAAATAGATTCACATTCTTAAAACTAAATTTTTGTGCACATCCTTAAGTTTTGGAGACCTTTTTAAAAAAATATAGCACTAATCTTTGAAAATTTATTGACAACAGAATGTAGTACTTGTCTCTTATTTAACAAGTAAAAATAAAAAATGGAATCTGGAAATCTCAACATAATCAGCCTAACACTTGTGATTTTATCCACTGGATAAAATGGTAGATTCCTATAACATACCCTGTTTTATAATTAAGACCTCTGTTTAATCAAGATTTTGTATCTCCCATTGCCAATACATGCCTAAGAGAAAACAACATAATTACAAAACATTAATTTTAAAATATCTTAAATACTTTTATTAAATTTAGGAGTTAAGAAGTCTCCATTTTCTTTGCTCCAAACCAGAAGACTTTGTTCTCTGCATATAGAGTAGGAGTAATGTTGGTTAAAAACTGGCTGGTGTTTAAAACTGAAGATTATCATGACTATTTAACCTAAACCCTATTCTGAAGTAAAAATAATTGTCTTGGAAATATTAAGTTGGGTAAGTATTTTTTAATAAAGGTTTATGTTGAGTGGTGACAAAAAAACTAATAGAAAAAGATCTGAAATTAAGAAAAGTACACTTTCAGGGGTGCCTGGGTGGCTCAGTCATTAAATGTCTGCCTTCGGCTCAGATCATGATCCCAGGGTCCTGGGATTGAGCCCCGCATTGGGTTCCCTGCTCGGCAGAGAGCCTGCTTCTCCCTCTCTCTCTCCCACTCCCCCTGCTTGTGTTCCCTCTCTCACTGTCTCTCTCTCTGTCAAATAAATAAAATCTTTAAAAAAAAAGGAAAAGTACACTTTCAGTTAGAAATTAATAGTCAACAGCAGAACTATGTTAACTTCAGGCTTATGATATATCTTATTATTTTGAGGTTAATAGTTCAGGAATTTGGATAACTTGTGGCTCATTAAATCTAGGTTTGAGACAGTTTTCAACCAATGAGTTACATTTGAAAAACTTTTAAAAAATGTATAAATACAGAATGCTTGAAAAGCATGTTTATTTTTTTTCAAGATTTTTAAAATTAATTAATTAATTAATTAGAGAGAGAGAGAGAGATAGCGAGAGCAGGAACACAAGGAGGGGGAGTGGAAGAGGGAGAAGCAGGCTTCCCACCAAGCAAGGAGCCCGATGTAGGGCTCCATCCCAGGACCCCGGGATCATGACCTGAGCCGAAGGCAGATGCTTAACGACTGAGCCACCCAGGTGCCCCAAGCATGTTTAATTTAAAGTGTGCCTAGAGTGTAGTATTAATGTGTTTGCCAACTATGCCTTATTGCTATTTGTTACATTGTGTGTATGACAGTGAATTCTGAACTTAAATCTCTGGGAGCCAGTCATAGACACCTGGATTAGATACTTAGAGATACAAGGATCCAGAGTATTATATACTGTCTAAATTCACACAAGAGCTACCCTTCTAGGTTAGTTATTCTCCAGATATTCTAAATTGAGAGACATAGAATACTTACTCTTTTATGAGTTAATAAGCTCTATTCTCACTTTCACCTGCTGGATATCTATTCACCTCCTGGCTAAACCAGAGAATATATGTGGTTAAATGCCATGTTTTCCATTTCTAATTGATATCTTCTTTTTCTTTTTGGTGAGGTTTTTCACTTTCTTTTTAGGATTTGTTGTTAAAACCTCAGAATGGTTATAAGTAGGTCGTAGATGTGGTATTATGGTTAGTGTGTACTTTGGGACTAATGAATGTTTTCATATAATAAACATCTTTTTGTCAAAATGACCTACCTAGTATTTATTTTTAAACTGATTAATAAGTGGGGCACCTGGCTGGCTCATTTGGAGGACCATGTGACTCTTGATCTTGGGGTTGTAAGTTTGAGCCCTGTATTGGGTGTAGAGATTCCAAAAAAGTAAATAAATAAACTTAGAAAATAAACTGATTAATAAGCTTTAAATATTCTATTTTTTAGGCACTAGAGTACGGTATTTGAAGCATGAACTTTGGAGTCAAGTGGACCTGAGTCCAAATTTCAGCTCTTCCACTTAACTAAAACTTAACTAACTTAACTAATACTTAAGCTTCAGTTTATATATCTTTAAGATGAGGATAGTAATTTCTACTTAATAGGGTTATGAAGTTCAGTGAGATGATGAGATTGTAAAGTTCTTAGCCTAGTGCCTGGTGTATTGTGATATCTTTAAAAGTATTAGTTACTCTTAAAAAAAGATTTTTTTGTTGTTTATACACAGTAATTGTAGCTTCTCTTGGGTATTCTTTATAACTGTCTTTTTTACATAATTTTTATCCATACCATCTGTTGACCAGTTTTTCCTTTTCTTGAGATTTATAATTAATGACCTTCATTATCATTTAATGAAAACAAAGAATTAAGTAATTGTCATATCATAAGCAATGCGATTTTTCACACATACCCAGATTATTTGGTATTCCAGAGCTAAACTGTCTAAAGAAAATATAAATGAATGTGAAAATTGTTAACAAAAGTTACTTCTAGTCTAGAAGAATAGAATTGACTCTGAACTTTAAGTAATTTGTTTAGGATTTCAGGTATAGCATCAAGCAACCATTTAGTTATAACACTGGCATTAATGATTTCAAGCTAAATACCTTTTTTAGGAAAATTACTCAAATTTTGCAAGATGTCATAGTGTTAAATTTGGTCAGAATTTAGGTCAGTATACAGAGGATTTATATTATATGTGACTTGTTATTTTATATGTGGATTATTGTAAATATTTTAAACTAATTTGTGATTGATAATTTTAACAATAAGAGTGATTAGCCTACTTTTTTCTGTCTTTTTAAAATAAATTTCCTAAATTAGACTGTAAGAGAATAATTATTTCATTACTCCTCTCATTGGCTTACTCTGTAGTTTAATTCTGAGTGCTCAAAGAATCATCCCCACCGGAACACAAAAATACTGTGAATATCCTTTTAGATATTTTGTTTCCATTTACTTAAAATACTCAAAATGGACTTTGCTTCTTAGGAAAAAGTGCTTAAATGATAGTCTTAAATGCTTAATCATTTTAATTTTTTTATATTAACCCTTTGTTTTAGCAGATTAACACTCAGTAATGTTTAAGTAAGTATAATAGCTAGACATGTAAAACAGTGTGTTTAGGAAACAATATTTCTTCTTTTTCAGGGTAACCCACATTTGCTTTTGGAACCATGAAAATTTTGCTTGTTTTTGACTTTGACAATACAATCATAGATGATAATAGTGACACCTGGATTGTACAGTGTGCTCCAGAGAAAAAGCTTCCTATTGAACTACGAGATTCTTACGAAAAAGGATTTTGGACAGAATTTATGGGCAGAGTCTTTAAATATTTGGGAGATGAAGGTGTAAGAGAAGATGAAATGAAAAGAGCAGTGACATCAATGCCTTTCACTCTAGGGATGGTGGAACTTTTGAACTTTATAAGAAAGAACAAGGATAAATTTGACTGCATCATTATTTCAGATTCAAATTCAGTCTTCATAGATTGGGTTTTAGAAGCTACCAGTTTTCGTGATGTGTTTGATAAAGTGTTTACAAATCCAGCAGCTTTTGATAGCAATGGTCATCTCACTGTGGAAAATTATCATGCTCATTCTTGCAACAGGTGCCCAAAAAATCTTTGCAAAAATGTAGTTTTGGTAGAATTTGTAGATAAACAGTTACAAAAGGGAGTGAATTATACACGAATTGTTTATATAGGTGATGGTGGAAATGATGTCTGCCCAGTAACTTTTTTAAAGAAGAATGATGTTGCCATGCCACGGAAAGGATACACTTTACAGAAAACTCTTTCCAGAATGTCTCACAATCTTGAACCTATGGAATCTTCTGTTATAGTTTGGTCTTCAGGTGTTGAAATAATTTCTCATTTACAATTTCTAATAAAGGAGTAATATGCCAACAACTGAAATGTGTATTGGTTAAGGTTAGGTACAACAGCATAAAACTAAAACCCCAAATACCAGTGGCTTTAAAAAAAGAAAAATTTTTCCCTCTCACTTAAAAGAATTTCAGAGGTAAGTATCCCAAGGCTGCTGTGTGCTCTAGCAACCTCCGCACTTGGCTTCTATCTCACATTCCAAGATTGCTGTTCAAGCCTTTTCCCTCGCATCAACACTAGTCGGCAAGAGAGAGGGCAGTGAATGAAAAGTTGCACCCTCACTTAACTTTCTTTGGCCAAGACTTAGTCACAGTCCCTCCACCTAACTGCGAGGAAAGATGAAAAATAAAGCCTTTATTCCAGATGACCATATGCCTGGGAAAAATTGGAGAAAAAAAGGACAGGATTGAGGTAGGTGCAATTAGTGTCTCTACCAAAGGTGGGTGATAGGTAGATTATATTTTTAAATTTATTCCCAGAGAGAGTAGTCATATATTTTACTTTCTTAGATGCTTACCTCAAAAGCATGTCTCATAGTTACAAATCTTAAGAATAAACCTGATACTTTATTCACATAATAATAAAAGGTTCCGGGACGCCTGGGTGGCTCAGTTAAGCATCTGCCTTTGGCTCAGGTCATTATCCCAGGGTCCTGGGATTGAGCCCTGCATCTGGCTCATTGCTCAGCAGGGAGTCTGCTTCTCCTTCTGCCTGCCGCTCTCCCTGCTTGTTTGCGTGCTCTCTCTCTCTGACAAATAAATAAATATCTTAAAAAAAAAATAAGATTCCAAAATGTATATAATGTCCTACTCCCAAGTCAATATATTTTTTTAAGATTTATTTATTTATTTGAGGGCGCCTGGATGGCTCAGTCGTTAAGCGTCTGCCTTCGGCTCAGGTCATGATCCCAGGGTCATGGGATCGAGCCCTACATCAGGCTCCCTGCTCCACGGGAAGCCTGCTTCTCCCTCTCCTGCTCCCCGTTTGTGTTCCCTCTCTCATTGTGTCTCTCTCTGTCAAATAAATAGAATCTTTAAAAAAATATATTTATTTGAGAGAGAGCATGAGCAGAAGAGGGGCAGAGAAAGAATCCACAGACTCTCTGCTGAGTGTGGAGGCTGACACGGGTAATCCCAGGACCTGAGATCATGCCCTGAGCCAAAACCAAGAGTCGGCTGGCTGCTCAACCAACTGAGCCACTCAGGTGCTTTAAAATCAGTATTTTAAAGATAGGGATGCAGTATCTATTGCACAAGTTTTTATGAATTTCAGATTTTCCTTTTTAAAATGAAATAACATTCTTCAAATATTTTAAATTTATATCAGCATCACAGACTATAATTCCAGTATGCTGGTTTAGTCAGTATGTTATTTCTATTTAGCAATACAATCTTTTATTTTATTTTTTTTTAAGTAGGCTCTACAGCCGGCATGGAGCCCAATGTGGGGCTTCAACTCACAACCCTGAAATCGAGATCTGAGCTGAGATCAAGAGTCAGATGCTTAACCGACTGAGCCACCCACATGCCCTATTTTTTATTGTTGTTGTTCTTCTTTCTTTTTGTTCTTTACTTGAAGTTTAGTTGATACCATGTTACATTAGTTTCAGGTGTACAACATAGTGGCTGGACAAGTTTATATGTTATATGTTTATACATCAGGCTAAGTTCACCACGGGTGTAACTCCCATCCGTCACCATGGAAGGCTGTTACAATACTGTTGACTGTATTCCCTATACTGTACCTCTCATCCTGTGACTTACTCATGCCATAACTGGAAGCCTATATCTCCCACTCCTCTTCACCCATTTCCCATTCCCTCCACCCCACACTCCTCTGGCAACCATGGGTTTATTCTCTATATTTATGGGTCTGTTTCTGCTTTGTTTTATTTTTCAGACTACACATATAAGTGAAATCATATGGTATATGTCTTTCCCTGACTTATTTCACTTAGCCTAATGTCCTCTAGGCCCAACCATGTTTTTGCAGATGGCAAGCTACCATTCCTTTTTGCGGCTGAGTAATATTCCTGTGTGTGTGTGTGTGTGTGTGTGTACACATCATATCTTCTATATTCATCTATGATAGACACTTAGCTTGCTTCTGTATCTTGGCTATTATACATAATGCTGCAATAAACATAGGGGTGCATATATCTTTTTGAATTAGTGTTTTTGTTTTCTTTCGGTAAATAACCCATAGTGGAATTACTGGATCATGTAGTACTTACATTTTTTTTTTTTTAATGAACCTTCATACTGTTGTCCATGGTGGCTGCATCAATTTACATTCCCACCTTTTTCCCCACATCCTTGCTAACACTTATCATTTCTTGTCTTTTTGTTACTAGCCATTCTGACAGGTGTAAAGTGGCATCTCACTGTGGTTTTGATTTGCATTTCCCTGATGATTACTGATGTTCAGCATCTTTTCATGTGTCTCTTAGCCATCTATGTCTTCTTTGGAAAAATGTCTATTCAGGTCCTCTGCCCATTTTTTTTTCTGCCCATTTTTTAAATTGGACTGTTTCTTTGGTGTTGAATTGTATAAGTTCTTTATACATGTTGGATATTAACCCCTTATTGGATATATCATTTGCAAATAGTGTCTCCCATTCAGTAGTTTGCCTTTCTGTTTTGTTGATGTTTCTCTTTGCTGTGCAAAAGCTTTTTATTTTGGTGTAGTCCTAGTAGTTAATTTTTGCTTTTGTTTCCTTTGCCTGGAGGAGATATATCTGGAAAAATGTTGCTAAGGCCAATGTCAAAGAGATTACTGCCTGTTTTCTTCTGGGGGTTTCATGTCTCACATTTAGGTCTTTAATCCATTTTGAATTTATGTTTGTGTATGGTGTAAGAAAGAGTCTGGTTTTATTCTTTTGCATGTAGCTGTCCAGTTTCCCCAGCACCATTTATTTTTTATTATTATTTTTAAATATGAGCCCTTTCTTTCTTTCTTTCTTTTTGAGAGAGAGAGAAAGAGAGAGAGAGAGGAGGGACAGAGGGACAGAGAGAATCCCAAGCAGCCTCCACACCTGGTGCAGAGCCTGATGCAGGGCTGGATCTTATGATCCTGAGATCACGATCTGAGCCAAAATCAAGAGTCAGACACTTAAGTGACTGAACCACCCAGGCACCCCTTCCCAGCACCATTTATGAAAGAAACTGTCTTTTCCTTATTGTATATTTTTGCCTCTTTTATTGTAGATTAATTGGGCACATAATTTTAGGTTTATTTCTGGACTCTATTCTGTTCCATTATCTGTGTGTCTATTTTTGTACTGGTACCATACTGTTTTGATTATTATAGCTTTATAGTATATCTTGAAATCTAGGATTGTGACACTTGCAGCTTTGTTCTTCTTTCTCAAGATTAGCAATGCAGGCTTGAGTGATACAATATATAATAGTAGGAATATTCAACATTTAAGAGACTGTTTCATATGAGGATATTAGCAAAACATCAACTGCTTTGAAAGTTTTATAATTCTATGCTAATTTCTAGATTCTCATGTTTTAGGCATAAATTTCCATTATGTAGTAATAGAATTTTTTTTTCATCATGGAAATCTCCAAAAATAGATTTTCAATATAATTTAATGGGAAAATTTTGTACCATCTATTTTTTCTAGGCTAAAAAAGTAAATCTTTGTTTTGCTGTAAATTAATAAATTAGATTATGTTGAAACACATTTATTTTTAGGTAATTGAGTAAGGAAATGAAATGAGATTATCTAGGATATTTAGAGCTCCCAGGTGCTTGGCAGAAGCCAAGAGGAAATTAATATCCTAAGTGTGGTGGACTGACTCTAAGGTGGCCCCCCATGATCCCTGTATCCTGGTATTCTTGTGTGTGTGTGTGTGTGTGTGTGTGTGTGTGTGTAGGGGGTGCCCTATGATTTGCTTCTAATCAATGGAATACCACAAAGATGATGGGATGTACGTGATAATGTGACATGATTACATTACATCAGATTGTAATGCTCATCTTGTTAAGGAATTCTCTCCTTTAATTTAATTTAATTTAATTTTATTTTATTCTTTAAGATCTATTTATTTGAGAGAAAGAGAGAGCGTGCATGTGTGTGTGAGCAGGGAGAGAAGCAAAAAGGATCCCAAACAGACTCCATGCTGAGCATGGAGCCCAATGTGGGGTTCAATCTCACAACCCTCAGATCCTGATCTGAGCTGAAACCAAGAGTCCAAGGCTTAACCAACTGAGCCACCCAGCCGCACCTATTTTATTTTTATTATTTTAATTCTCTCTCTTGATTTTAAAGAAGCAAGCTGCTGGGGCACCTGGGTGGCTCAGTTGGTTAAGCGACTGCTTTTGGCTCGGGTCATGATCCTGGGGTCCTAGGATCGAGGCCTCATCGGGCTCCCTACTTGGAAGGGGGCCTGCTTCTCCCTCTCCCTCTGCCACTCCCACTGCTTGTGTTCTCCTGCTCTCTCTCTCTGTCAAATAAATAAATAAAATCTTTAAAAAAAATACAAAATAAAGAAGCAAGCTGCTGTTGTGACCAGGACTTCAGAGAGGGCCACATGGCAAGCAATTAAGGTGGCCTCTAGCCAACAGCAAAAAGTAGGCCCCTGGTTCAGTAGTCCTTAGGGAACTGCATGCTACAACTGTGTGAGCTTGGAAGTGGATCCCTTCCTAGTAGAATCTCAGCTGAGATCACAGCTCAGGCTGACACCTTGATTTGGCTTTGTGAGACCCCGGGACAGAAGATCCGGTGGAGGTATGTTTGGACTCATGACCTACAGAACCTATGAGATAATCAATGTCTGTTGTTTTAAGATGCTAAATTTGAGGTAATACTGTTATACAGCAATAGAAAAATTAATGCCATAGGCCTCAAAATAATTTCTATAAATAGTTTTGCAAGTACCTTGTAGGGCATACAATAAAAAGTAGCCACACCAAAAGACATGAATGAATACCAGCAGAAGCAGAAGCTTCCATTTAAACATATCTGCAGGACCTCTAGATATTAGCATTTTCAGGCACAAACTAAACTTATGTGA